CTTGCTGATACTGGTTCATCTGATCCACAGATATGGGACTTGCTCACATCTCCAATTGTGTGAGCCATTTCCTTGATATAAGTTTCTCTTTATATATTCATATATAAGCTTCACAGGTTTTGTTTCTCTGGAAAACCCAGCCTATGACAATAAGTTTTGTATCAGAGGATAAAATTGTGAATTTTGTTTTTACAATGAACTATAAGATAAGCACTGGACCACAAGGTCAGTTTGAAATACAAGGTTGGTGGTTCAAACTCTCCAGCAACTGCTTGGAAATCTTATTCAGGGTCACTGTGAGTCAAAGTGACCCAATGGCACTTAACAACAACAACAACACATGATAAGGAACCCCAGTAACGTCATGGTTACTCACTGGACTGCTAACCACAAGGTCTTGGTGCCCATAAAGATTGACAGCTTTAGAAACCATATACTGGGTTGCCATTAGTCAGAACTGACTCAATTGCAAATGGCAGCAATATATGATCAATATGAAGGGGCTTCAAAAAGTTCACAGAAAAATCCCACTTTTTAAATAATGCCATGAACTTTGTGCAGTTACCTTGCACAACAGTGTAATGTATTTATATTTTATTAAGTACTATGACTTCACATATAATACACCCATGTATATAATATGTACATGCCCACAACATGCATAGTATGCATAGGAAACTAGCACATGGGGGGGGGGGGTTGTACAGCTTGCAGATCATTTGTTAAATATGGCACTAAGATTTGATGGAATAGCATATGGTCACATAGGTTACAGCCTTTGTATAATTTGCATATGGCCAATCATAAAGAGAGGTTTCCATGTAAATCAGTACTTGCAAAAATATTTTAGTGTAAAGTCAAACACTCTGTAGTAGGCACTCTAAAGCTCAGCAAACGTCCCATTAGTTGTTCTACATTTCTTAGTTTCTTTTCAGGTCAACAGGGTTATGTGACAAGCACTGGCATGAGTAGTGGATGACAGTACATGTGTATCTCTTTCAAGCTGAACAAAGAGTGGATGAGAGTGCTCTCTGGGATTTCATTTCCTTATGTGCCATTACAAAGCAATGTACTGAAGCAGAATGGGTCCTTCAGTGACAGTATGGAAGTCTGTGGCCACGGAAGATTGCACATGAACCCCCAGTGGAATCTGTGTAAATGATAAAGATTTTCAGGCTATTTATTACATAGTATAACTTAATCTAGCTGGACTAATGTACTCTATAACAGTGTTTTTAAAAGATTTTTTGACTATTAGCCACAATGAATGTATCTTACATTGTGAGCCAGTACATATACACTCAGAAACACACCTCTCAAACATATATTTCATGAAACAACAAAAGTCAGTTGCCATTGAGTTGGTTCTAGTTCATGGCAACCCCATGTGTTAGAATAGAGCAGTTTCCACTGGCTGATTTTTCGGAAGTAAATTGTGAGGCATTTTTCCCAAGAACTCTGGGTAAACTCCAACTTCCATCACTTTCATTAGCAGCTGAGTGTGTTAATCATTTGTATCATCAAGTCCCTAGGAAGCCATGCTTTTCTTTAATATGCATTCTATTCTATTATTTAAAAGATGCTGGTCTTGACCCCAAAATTGATTTTATAACTCATGAATGGATTTCATGTCTGAGTTTGAAAAATGCTGCTCTAAGTAATAATTTGTATGTGATTTATATGCTATTCATAAGCCCTTCATTCATAGTTATTATAAACCAGGCTTTCTAGACCTCTCTGTAATTTTTTATTATATCATACTAGAATGGTTAGATATATTTTTATGTAATATATAGCACATCCCACATAATTTCTGGAAGGTAATGTTTTATTGTTGAGCCTACTAATTTACAACATGTCTTTTTAAGTGTACTTATAAAATTTTGTCACAAGGAGTAAGTAACAATGTTAACCTGATTAGTCATTATTCACTTTTTAAAATAAATGACTATAAATAATTGTCTCTTGCATTAGGATCAGGGATATCATAAAAACATCACTAGTTAGACATTTTTAGAGTTAATGCTGATGCTAAAAATGAAAGAGATAAAATATTTATATATAGCACTATATTTATGTATATTTAATATATTGTATACTCATATCAAAAATTGCCATTTCAGTTCAGAATCTGATAAATTATGCTCTAATTTCATAAATTATACAACTGTGAAAATATGGACAACTGTTTTATATTTTTACTGCTATATAAGACATTTAATGTTATACAGAGAGCTGCAAAATTACAGAGGTTTTGTAATGGGAATAGATGAACATTTTCACCTGAATTTCCACTGGCCTTGTTCTTCAGCCAAAATGATCTTGATATATTCTTTGAATATGCTTTTAGAGGTGAATATAGAGTATTTTCTTCAGTAAATACACATACACACATTTTAGGTATATGTGTGGCGTGGTGCTGTGGGTTAATGAACTGAACTGCAAAATCGGTTTGAAGGGCAAGGTTGACGGTTCAAGCTCACCAGTCGCTCCTCAGAAACCCTATACAGGGTGGCTATGGTTTGAAACTGACTAGATGGCACTTAACACAACATATTTATATAAGTGTATGTACACACTTATATAAATATGTACACACATACATATATACACATGTTATAGTGTACATATATGTATTGTTATTGTTAAGTGCTAGCAAGTTGTTTCCGACTCAATAATGATCCCATATAAGGTTTCTGAGGAGTGGCTGCTGTGCTTAGTCTGCCAACCTTGCGGTTCAAACTGACTTTGCAGTCTAGGGCATTAACCCACAGCACCACACCAGGACTCCATATAGATATACATTTCTGTGTGCACTTGTACACATATGATCGCATAGTGTCCTTTGGTTTATTCTCAGGCCATTAATGTAAAATGAATTTTGGATGATTTCCATGAATTATTTTCTTTAAATCTGAAGTGGTTTAAAAAGACCTTCACAGTAAGTAATACATTCTTTAAAAAGATCTTAAATATTCTTACACTTGAAAGCATTTTATAGGGACAGTCAAAGATGGTGGAGAAGACAGGAATTTGTGTCTATATAGGGGAAAAAAGTAAAATAGTTTTTCCAGACTTGGGTTTTCCAGACTTAAAGTTACTCCCTTTGAAGTACTGAAACCTAGTACTGGTTTTAGTAAAGGAACTCTAGGCTAAACTGCCCCCATAGGAAGGGTGAGTTGGAGTCAGAGATACTAGAGAACAAATATGTTCTTGGGAATGGGTACTGGGACTTGGGATGAGAGCCAATCCTTAGGGAGGAAAACAAAATGACAACAGGTCAGAAAGCATTTCGATTGGGGGGGTTGGCAGCTCCAGCTTTTCCACTGCATGTTAACACCCTTGTAGTGTCTTAGTTGCCAAGATTGTAACTGTGTGCTTTCCCAGGAGAGGTTTTCTCTTGTTTCCTTTAGGCTTTAAGTTCAGCCTTCTTGGTCGAAGACACCCTACACAAATGGAAATCTATTTGATGGCTGCTTATAGCTTCACAGAAGTCCTCCACCCCCTTTATATGCCTCTTCTAGAACAGAGGCTATTTTCCCAACACATCAAAGAAATCCTAACATTTTCCAGTGAGACTGTTGTTAAGTGCCTTGAGTAGGTTTTGATGTAGCCACCCTGTGTCGGGTTTCCAAGGAGTGGCTGGTGGGTTTGAACTGCTGATCTTGCAGATAGCAGCCCAGTGCTTATCTTACAATGCCATGCCAAAATCCAAGTAGGTATATTTAAAACAGCCAAAAATACTCACCTTGTCCTCTTACTTAGTTGTTGTTGTGAAGTGCTGTCAAGTCAATTCTGACCCATAGTGACCCTGTATAGGGTTTCTGAGGAGCTGGTGAACTTGAACCGCTGATCTTGCAGTTCAAATGGCTTTGCAGTCTGGTGCATTAACCCACAGTGCCACATCAAGACTCCTGAACCACAAAATGATTTAGGATTAGGAATGTTCCTTATTTAAAAGCTAGTAGTATCTCACGCCCCCAGGTTTTGGGCCTTGGTGTGGCGCCGTAGGATGGATAATCACTGGATGGATAACTGCAAGATCTGCAGTCAAACCTACCAGTCACTTGTGGAAACCCTATACAGGGTAGCTATGAATCAGAAGTGATCTGACAGCATACAACAACAACAACAACAATAACAATAAAGCTGGTTTTCACCAGAGGTGTTACCATACCTGTCCTACTTGTTTTTCTTTTGACCACTATGAGAGAAGCCCCAGAAAATTGGGGTTAGGGTGATCTCTATACAAACTGGGAGTAATTTGGGTTGCTCTTGCAAATTTTACCAACACTGAGAGCAGAAGTGGTGCAGGACAGCTAAGCACTTAAATCTTATCTTTACTGTACTGGCTGAGCAGGTTGAACAGTGGACTTAGGATTGGTGGTAGTATTTCCAATGCTTTCTAAATCTCTGGTGCCATCCAATAATTAGGACCTTCTACCAATGACATAAGGAGCTCTGGTAGCGTAGTGGTTACGAATCGGGCTGCGCACCTCAAGGTCAACAGTTTGAAACTACCAGCTGTTCCGCGGGAGAAAGATGAGGCTTTCTGCTCCCATAAATATTTACAGCCTCAGAAACCCTGTACAGGGTCGCTATGAGTTGGAACCGACTCCATGGCACATAACCACCACCACCACCACCAATGACATCTTTTGAATCATGCCCCTTTAATTGATGCCATTGACTTATCTTGCTAAGTTCAACACATCTTTCCCTAAAGGACTGACAGCAACTCTTGTCCCTGATGAGATTCAGAGCTCACCCTCTGACATAAGCTTTGATTTTATATTTTTCACATTTTCTGTTGAGACCACTTGAAAAGCATTCTTGGAGTCCCTGTGTGTGATTTAAAAAATGAATCTTTTTCTCTTCTTTGATATGAAAAAGGAAGGGGAAAGTGGTTCTGGTGTTGTTTGCAAGATACCACCTATTTGAATGACACAGATAAAGAAGTTAGAGTCACACATAGGATGTGGAGGGGATGGGGTAGGAACACGATATATTTTGTGGCACAGAATAAAAAAGATTGCTTCCATCGCACTGAAAGGAATCATTGACAGAGAGCGAAGCGTCCGAGCGAAAAGATGGAATCACTTGTCTGGGGTGACAGTCATTGCTGGGCACCTAATAGAAGAGTGGAGCTAAGGAGGAGTGCCAAAGATGGGGAGGGAAGAAGGTGGTGTAGACAACTGGCAGCACTAGTTCTTGCTCAGGATGCTTTTGAGGCTTCTCTCCACAGCTTCATCCAACTCCTCCTCCAGCTCTTCCTTCTTGGACATGGCTAACTTGGACTGGTAATCCCTCACGATCTGGTCAATATAAGGGGCACTCTGGGTACCATGGAGCATCAGGGTCCACTCCTTCAGCACCCCCTTCTGGGGCAAACTGCCAACAAACCCTAGCTCAAGGGTCCAGGTTCCCCTAGCGTCTTCCCCCCAAGTGTGCGTGGTCATGAAAGGCCACTTGTCAAAGCCCACTTTGGAGTCGTCATCTCTTGGGCGCCGGCTCAACAAGATGGATTTGGTGCCCATTGGGGAGGTCATGTTGATGTTCAAGTCTCCTCTCCTGCTGGCATTGACTGTGATGACAGCTTGGACGTGCTCAAGGTAGCGGACAAAATTTTCCTTCCCCTCGCAAGCATCGGTTGTGAGGGTCAGTACCAATTTGCCAGTGGATGGTATTTTCCTGAGGACAAAGTGATAAGGAGATCTGTTAAGGGAGGGATGCATCCCATGAGGCACAAGTATGAAGGCAGTTTGGTAACACCATGAGCAAGGCCTTTGAGGTTAATCAGACAGACTTGGGCGTAATTTCCACACAGCTGTATAAGCCTGACCAAGTTAATTGTACACTCTGAACCTCCTTTTAGATTGCGAAAAGGAATAGATGCTATTGATGTTCCTTCACACATCTCCATTACCTTTGAGTTCACCTGCAGCTGTAGTCCCATAGACCCTGACTGCTTCCTTCCACAGGCACCTCAGCTGCTCTCCTGGGGCTTTCCCCAGCACCATGGGAGCTTACACCATCTGTGTGAAGAGGAAGCCACTACAAATGATTGGGAGGAGATGGTGGATAAATACCCAGCTTCCCCACTGAAACTCAGCCTAATTGTCCAGGGTGATAAACTTGCTCATTAATGTACACTTTCTTGACCTCCCCCTTACCTCCTCCATGTTTTCTATCTCCACTTCCTCACTAGTGTTTCCTAGGGTTATCTCTCAAAAAGCTATCAGCATCCAAGTCCTGTCTCAGAGTCTGCTTTTGGGGGAAACTTGACTGAGGAAAAGGTGCCAAGTATCTAGATAAATAGAAACTATTGCTAATATGGTTTTTATCAATACCTTAGGAGACACTAAATTTGACATCATTGTTGTTGTTAAGTACCCGTGGAGTCGGTTCTGACTCATAGTGACCCTGCACAGGGTTTCTGAGGCTGCAATTCTTTAGGAGAGCAGAAAGCCTCATCTTTCTCCCACGGAACAGCTGGTAATTTTGAACTGCCGACCTTGAGGTTAGCAGCCTGATTCATAACCACTACGCTGTGGCACTGTGGGTTAATGCATCAGACTGCAAAGCCATTTGAACTGCAAGGTTGGCAGTTCAAGCTCACCAGCTGCTCCGCAGAAACCCTTTACAGGTTTGCTTTTGGTCAGAACCAACTCAATGGCATGTAACAACAATGCTACCAGAGCTCTTTTGGACATCATTAATTCCAGTGAAAGACTGTTTTGAAAACCGACTTTGGTGGTTTTCTGGTCTCAGAATTGCAGTCCCATGGAAGGTTGGTCTAAGTTTATACCCCAGCTGTATTTCCATACCATGAATCTTTTTTTCTGGAGATGGCCTCCTTCTAATGTGAAATACAATCAGTCAAGCTACATTTGAGGATTGCATGAAGTAATGGAAAGTCTCCAGACTTTGGGAAAAAAACTATTTGAATTATAATTCTGCTTCCATACATACTGACCATGGGAACTTGGACAAATTATTGAAATACTGTAAGTTCATTGTCACTTTAGGATCATTTTAGTGAGGTTTAATAAGACAATGGATGTATGGGATTCTGGGAGTATGGTGGCATAAACAGATGATCATTCCTACCCTCCTCCACAAATCCTACAAGGAAATGGTGCTCGGTTTGGAGGGTCTCTGAAATGGGGAGCAGAGGAAAGCAGCAGGGAACTGCAGACAGGCAAGAATCAATGAATTGGCAATGAGTCACACATATGATAGGAAAATTTGCTTGTTCTACCACCCTTGACCCTACCACTTACCACAAGAACTGCTACTGCTATGAACTGGGAAGTAGCCATAGCAAAAGACTCAGCTTCCCTAACCACCATACCCCTCACTGGCTGTACAAATAGGCAGGACCTGAAACTTCTGCTCTAAAATAAACAAGGCAGATATCTTTGTGGGGCCCATCTGGAGCATGCCAGCACCTCCCTTACATGGATACCATCTGCTGCAAGCCTACTGCGAATTACTACAGAAGATCCTTGCAATGGAGTCCACTCTCACAGTCAACATGCTACCTGCCTCTCTGCATACCTCATAGCTTAGGCCTCTGAAACCAACAGGACAGACCTCTGAAGAGTCAGTTCTGGTCTGTCTGCTTCCCCTTTTGGTCAGTACTGAGGACTGTTGATTGAGACTGTTGTGGGCTAAGAAGCAGGCAATTTGGGTGGAAGCTATACCCACAGCCAACGTATAATGGAAGGAGGGCATTGATATCAACAAGGCAGGCCTCTCTGGGCATTTTCCTACCCCCCCACCTGGTAATTATTGGTTGCCAGGCTGTTGCAAACTGCTACAGAAGGCTCCTGCAGTGAAATCTGCTCCCTCATTCAGCACTCAACCTGCCTCCCTGTTTATGCCATAGCTCAAGCCCTTGAAACAAACAGGACAGATTTTTTGAGAGCAAATTTAGGTCTGCTCCCCTTCTGGTCAATGCTGATGTCTGATGTGTAAGACTGCTGTGTGCTAGGAAGTAATCATCTTGAATAGAGCCTATACCCACAGCTGGTAGTTTCCAACTACTGACCTTGGGGTTAGCAGCTTGATTCGGAACCACTGTGCTACCAGAGGTCCTGAGAAAATTAACACTCTTAAAGATTCCAATGCTCTGACAAAAACATCACAAGACACATAAAGAACAGAGAAAATCCAGAGAGTGGCAGAATGGATTAAAAATAAAACAACAACAACAACAAAACCCCCAACAACAAAAAACAGAAAAAAACAAAACACCATGATCCAACTATATACTGTTTAGAGGAGACACGCCTTAGACTCAAGGACACAAACAATTTTAAAGTGAGAGGATGGGAAATATATTCCATACTATCAGAAAAAATAGACTTTAATACAAAATCCGTCAGAAGAGATAAAGACAGACATTATATAGTGATAAAAGGGCTAATTAATCAGAATATATAACAATCAGAAACATATTTGCACCCAATATCAGAGATCTAAATATATAAAGCTAAAACTGATAGAACTGAAGGGACAAACAGCTAGCAGTACAATAATAGTAAAAGACTTCAACACACCACTTTCAGTATTAGAACATCTAGAAAGAAGATCAACAAGGAAACAGAGGACTTGAATGACACTATAAATCAATGAACTAATTCCGAATTGCTAGTCACTGAAAACTCTATGAATAGCAGAGAAACACTGTCAGATACAGGACTGGAAGGTGGGAAGGCACTCAGAATGCGACTGGGAAAAAAA